CACATAATAAAGAGCCACACCGGTAAGTATTGTCTCCCGTATTTGTCTTAGTTTTATCCTTCTTATTTTGGTCTTCGGACTAAACTTGCTTTGTTTTTTGTAGGCCATAATTAGACACAATCCCACGGGCTAATGACATTTTTGAAGGGAAACATTGATGCCCCTGCTGCTTTTGAGACCCAGACAGCCCCACCATTAAGGACTATGGTCTAGGGGATAAAGCAAGACGATGCTTCCTCCCAAGTTTCCGTTCCCCTAGTCTCTAGAAAACTCGAGGCCAAGAAGAGCTTCTCCAGTCATCCTGACAAATGAGATATTCCTAATAAGAGGAAGTGGGCTCCGTCTTCATCTCCTGAAGCTAAGAGAAGGAAGAAGACGACGCCCCCACCACTTGACCAACCTACTTCTACCCTCTCCTAATTGGCCCCATACCTCAGAAAGGAAAGCTCACACATAAGTGCCAACAAATGATGATCCTATCAGCAGATTCTGATGATGGCAGAGTAAGTTTGATTTAATAAGGGGAGAAAGAGACCTAACTCCCAGATCTCCAAATGGTCACTTTCCAAGCCATTGTCATTCCTGAGCCCACACCCATGGACCTAATTAAAGTCACTCAAGAGGTGGCCCGAGAGGTGACAGAACATGATGAAGGTCTGGGGGCTGCCCTATCTACTGCAGCCTCAAGCGATTTAAAAGACATTGGGGCCACCCTTAATCAAGGAGAGGCTTTTATTGTAGCCATGAGTGACAAGTCAGAGTTTGGGGTCCAAGGCCCTACTACTACCGAGGGCCCCATATGGTCTCCCCACTCAGTCTGATCCTTCCCTCCCACTTGTCAAGTATCTAAAGATGGTAGGAGCTTTGAGAGGTCCTTGGAGGGATTACAGACAACATCTGTGATGGACACTTTCCTCGCTTTGGTCCCTACTAAAGGTGACTCGGTGCGAGGTCAAGCTGACTCTTTCACTCTTACAGGCTATGTAGAGAAGGCTCTACACTCGATGGTGTGGTCTGCACGTACTCCTCCCCCTTCCACAAGCAAAGACAAAGCACTCGTGGACCCAATTCAAGTATAGTCTTGTTTTCTTTTTTCTTTCTAGTCCTTCCAATTTCTTCTTGGTTTTTTGTTGTTAATGTTATTTTTTTCTTCAACTGGCTGTACTGAAGGTAGTGCCTACTAACGCCCTCCTATCCTGCATTCGTGTCCTTGAGACGGATGTTATGTTGGATCCTTAGAGGGTCGTATAGTTCTAACTCAACCATGATCCATTCCTCATCCCTGAACAAAATTTCAAAGAGATGATCTGGGCTCTCGAAGCTATGGAGAAGGTGGTCTCCATGTTTGAGTTGGTGCTCCTACGAGCTTAAATCCTAGCATGTTATGGCATTATTAGCCATTACCATAAATAACTCCCCCTCCTGTTAGAGTATTTGAAGAACAACTGGTCAGTGAGGGATGAATATTTAGTTGCCAAGACCCGAACAACTGCTACTACTAATCAGGTCTAAGAGATTGCCCCTCTTATGGATCACCTTAGGGCGCTACGGGCTAAGGTGGCAGACTTGAGGTGCCAACTCATAACAACTGAAGAAGAGTTGGCGAGGGCTGAAGCTGAAGACGGTCCAGTTAAACCTCAGTTAGAGGTTACTACCAAGGTTCTGGATGAGGCATGGGCCGTTTTGGATGCTAAGCTTTAGTTTATGCTTGAGTTCGAGATGGCTTTTGCTCACCACTAGACCCTTTTTGTGGATCTGGACTCGGCTTTGGTAATGTGGGAGCTCACGTGCAATCTTTGTAAATAGTGTACACACATTTTTTTATTATTTATTATTTATTCTTTGTGACACGATTCAAACATAATAATAAAGAACAAACATTTTTTCTCATTGTGCGACTCTTGTATGCCCGGAGGCCATTCTAGGCCTCAAGTCCTTTATCACTTTTTTATTATAATGACAGCCAATACTTCTTCAAATATTTCCCGTTTATTGCCCGTCTATATGGAATCCCGTCAATGCTAGCTAACATGTATGTGTTTCCTTTAATTACTTCGTCTACCTTGAACGGTCCTTACCAATTAGGCAAAAACTTACCAAGTGTTCGGTCTTTAGAACCAGGTGGTAACACAAGTTTTTACACAATCTTGCTTGCCCGAAAGTGCTTCCTTCTTATACGCTTATTATATATTCTTAAAACTTCCTTTTTCTGGGCGATCATATGGTTGAGTGCTTGTAAATGAATTTTGTCTAATTGAATTAACTTGTTCATCATGGCTTTGTTATAGTCATCAGATGGTCTTCCTAGACTGCTTGCAACATGTAGCGAAGGGACTACTATTTTCATAGGTAAAACGGCCTCATGCCTATATGTTAACATATATGGGCTCGTGCACATAGCTTCTCTCTTAGATATCTGGTATGTCCATAGTGTCTCGGGCAATCATTCGTGCCATTCTCGAGGATTCTCTTTAATTGTTTTCTTTAAAATTCTGTTGGAAGCTTCAGCCTGTCCATTTGCCTGAGGGTAATATAGTGAGGATGCTAATAACTTAATCCCACTTTCCTTGACGAAGGCCTTGAATTCACTTTCAGTGAACATTGTCCCCTCGTCTGTTGTAATTGTTTGAGGAATCCCAAACTAAAACATGATTTGTTCATGTTCGAAGTTAATAACATCGCCCTATTCTACTTTCTTCATAGGGACGGCCTCGACCCCTTTAGTGAAATAATCTGTGGCCACTAAAATAAATGAGTGGCCCTTGGATGAGACTGGATAACTTTTCCCTATTATATCTATGGCCCATCCTCGAAAAGGCCATGGTTTGATTATTGAATACATGTCTGATGCTGGCACTTGTTGTGTTGGCCTGTGAGCCTGACATTTCTTGCACCTCCTAGCGTATTCGATGCAGCCTTTTGTCATCGATGGCAAATAGTATCTGTGCCTATATACTAGCCATTGCATCTTTGGTCTCGATTGATGAGCCTCACAGACTCTCATGTACCTTTCTTAAAACCTCTACATAATCAGTGAAGGCCAAACATCGAAGTAATAACCTATCGGGGCCTTTTCTGTGTAACTCATCTCTAATTAAAATGAAGTATTGAGCACATATCCTTGTTCTGTACAGGTAACATTAATTAGGATCTTACAGATAACTCTTAAAATCATCCCTCCAATCCTAGGCTAACCCTTGCGAGACCGCATTGCATTATACCGTCAAACCACACTGAACGACCGAGGGATGTTCTTTTCGTTCCACCACAATTTCTTTTTTAGTGAGATCAGGTGACAGTCTTAACCCTGACACTATTTGAGCCAGTTCATTGGCTTCCCAGTTTTGAGCTCAAGGAACGTGAACTAACATTACCATTTCGAACTCTTCTAGAATCTGGGAAGCCCCAGTATAATACATTACTAGAGCCGGGCTCGTGCACTTATACTCTCCAATTAATTGTTTGATGACTAACTGAGAATCACCCTTTAATTGTTAGAATTGCACTATTTTAATTATGTTGGTAAGGTTAATATTAGTTAGACAATCTATGGATACTTTGGTATAAACAGCAGAAGCAACAACAGCAGAAGGAGATTGTTGTAAAAAAAAAAGATTTATGAAATAGATGAGGTTGAGAAGGAGTATTTTGATTTTTGGGTATATTGGTTTTTCTCTAATTATTAAGGTTACAAATGTACGAGGTGCAAACCTAAAAATATACAAGTTGATGGTAATGATGATGATGATATTAAATCTATTGTTAACTAGGAGGAAACATCAGAATGTGGATGTGATAGTAGAATAGGTATATTTAAGTGGAGGGTATCATAAGGAGTAAATTGAACCTAATGTACCTTAAATGTTATTCTCAAGTATAGCAAAGATGTACCAGGCTTTATAAAATAAATAACTATTTTGGTTTTGTGATAGTATGAGAAGGGGCATAATGAACTCTATCTCATGTTATTTAGCTTGTGTTCAAGTTAAGGTAGAACATAGAAGTTGGAATGAGTGCATTAGTAATTAGATGAGTTGCAGAATTACATAAAGTTCCACCATCTTAGTTGCGAATCAACGTTCTAAAGATTTCTCTCATGAAAGGTGTGATAAAATTAAGAAAAAGAATCAATTTGAGTTCAAGGTATGTTCCCCCATTTGGAATCTTTAAGAGAGTTGGTTGTGTCGAGTATCATTTTGCAATACCCTTTTGAATTATCAGTCAGTCATTTGTTGATGTTGTAAAAATATTGTATGACTTTTCTTATGTGATTGAAACTCGAGAGATACAATTAGGGTAGATTTATTTCAGGCAGAAGTTCATATGACCAAGCTTGATAAGTAAAGTTATGATAACAAGAAATCACTTAAATAAAGGTGTTGAACATGATCATTTTTTTTAAAGAGAAAGCTACAATAGAAGCTAAAAGTGTAATGTATATTAAGTATCTACACTTATTCAACGATTGAGGTAAGTTCATATTTAAAAATTCAGAGGATCGAATTTTTTAAGGGGGGAAGAATATAACGACCCTGAAAAATAAATAAATAATACTTAAATTAATAATAGCATATTTTGATTGTTTTTATATAAATTTGGTAGTAGATGCAATGAGAGGAGAGTGCTAATTTATTAGAACTTATATCAATAAATTTTTTTAGGTTTAGAGTTCAAATTCTATGTAATAACCCAAAAATTTAAATAAGATTAAATTTAATGATAAAGGATTTTGATTATATTTGATTATATTTTTATTTTGGGATAATTTTATTGAGAGTGAATGGTTGGCTCAATGGAAATGAGTGTGGATGAATATACTCAAGTCCTAAGTTCGAATCCTCCGAGACCATTAAGAAGGACTTTTATTTTTGCTTCATTATGAAATTACTATTATGCCCTTAGGAAAAAAAAATCGGTGGCAGAGAGTAAAACACACGCATCCTCTGTTTTTATTCCTTTCCCAAGCAAGAGATCTAGGAGCTTCGAACAGAACCGCGATCCTCCCTCTTCTTCATCTTTTTTTTTCTCTCGCACTTATTCCATCACCATCCATGGTGTGTACACAAGCTTCGCTTGCTGCTGCACGCCGTTACAAGAGGAGGAATCACGAGCTCTTCTTCTTCATGTGCCGTTGCTCATCTCCCTGCTCTCATGGTTATGATATCATCCTGATTCTCAACTTAATACTCTAGATGCATCGGCCGTAGCAGCCAGGGGAAATCCTCGATCTTCTCCGTCTTATTTACGTGCGGTGCTGGTTTCTGTGAGTGTGAGCACAGAGTTTTTCTTCCCTTCTCAGCGTCGGACTATCCCTCTTCCTGGTTCAACGTTATCGGCTTTGCTGGTTAGTGAATCTTATCTCTCTTCCCTCCTCCGTCTGGTGCTGTTGGTGTGTGAGGAGCTGAGTAGTTAGAGCTGGAGGTTCGGCTTGTAAGTCTCTTTGCTTTGTGGTTGGTTGTTGTGACTCTATTCCTCTCCCTCTCTAGTGCATCGTCTTCAAAATTTCCCTCCCCTGTTCAGCTTAAGGTGCGATTTCTCCTTCCCTTCTCTGTCTTCGTTTGGTAATCTGTGGTATAAGAACTCCAAGTCTCCTTCTTATTTATTGTTTCGTGTAAGTGGGTGTGTGAGTTGATGATTTAAGTTGCAAAATTTTTCCCCTCTGCTGCTGCTGAACGTGACTGTTTGGATATGCATGTATGAAGAAAAGGGCTTGATTTAAGTTGAAATTTATGGTTGTAAAACAAGGAGATAATGTAGTGGGTTTGAGTTTTAATTGAAGTTGATTGGATTATTGATTATAACATTGTTATTGTAAAATCTCAAGGAAGTGATATTGAGGAAGAAGAGGTTAATATTAGCTTAAGGATTGGTGTCCATAGAGTGTTCGATTAAATGTCCGTTTGGAGATTTTTGCTTGATTGTGTATTTTCTGAAATTCTATTGATTGAGGTGAAAAGCATGATTGATTCAAATGTTATTCAGTGGAGTTTTAATGTGAGCATTGCAAAAAAATTGTGACATAAATTACGATGTTTAGGGTAATTATGAATCATTTAGATGGACTATGGTTGTGTTAAAAAAAATTAGAATTAAAATTTAAAATTAAATTCAATTTAGAATCATGTTTTGCTCTTATAGGAAATTGAATCCTGTTATCAAATTGAATATAAGAAATTTTATAAAGAACTTGTCGATGCTTGAGGATTCTATGGTTGGCAATGTATAAGCTTTCATACCTATGTAAGATTTGATTTTAGAATGCATATAAGATGTTTGATGAAACGTTGGGGGAAGAGTGCAAATGTGAACAATGGTATTGTTTAGTTAAAACGTGTCAGGGGATTATTATGATTTGTTAGCTAAAAAGGAACGTGAAGGACATGAATTTCTTTAGAATGAAAATTTAAAAGGATCAGGGTCCAAGAGCAATGTAAGAATATACTATAAGAAGTGAGTAAATAATTATGAGTTTTATAAAATTTTAAAGGTTCAATTGTTATTATATTGGATGTTTCAGGAATAAACCTTGTGGTGAGGGCGGTTAAGGGATAAATTACAATGTTTGAATCATCTCAGGTAAGTGGATAGCGTCCCAACTGATTTTTTTTTTCAATCAAAATTTTCTTTACTAAAATATTATGTTTTTTTGGAAATCATTTTAATAGCATTAATGCAATTATTGGATATTTGTTGATTAATTTTACTTTATTTTGAGAAATTAGCTTTACCAAATTTGAAATGTTATTTGATCAATTAAATCAAGTTTGGACTTTGATTATGAGATTTTTTTTATTTATCAAATATTGGATTGATACAGAGAATGATTCATACGAATTCGACTTTGAAAGTTTTGTTGATTATTCAATAAATGCAAGCATGAGCATTGGATATGAAATTTGATTCTGGCAAGTTTTAATGCTTAAAAATATTCATGCGAGTTTGATTTTGAGAATGAGAACTGTATCTTGAAAGTGATGATTTTCTCGCATGTTTGAAAATGGTTTTAAAAAAGGGACTTTATACGGAACACTAGTTGCTAACGGCAGTTTTGTTAGCCCTTGGCGCGCCATGGTACACCTAGCTAGTAAGGTGTTTATAGGAGGTGCTAGCCCCGTGCGATGGCCAACGCACGTGGAACGGAGGGATGGTATTCGTGAGCATCGTACTCACGTTTGTTTCGTGGCATAAGCCGCGTTTGGTTATTTACCCTCGTGAATTGTGTGTCCACATTTGTTTCGTGGCTTCGGCCGCATTTGGTTATTTACTCTCGTGGATTGTGTGTCCACGTTTGTTTCGTGGCTTCGGCCGCGTTTGGTTATTTAACCTCGTGGATTGTGTGTCCACGTTTGTTTCGTGGCTTCGGTCGCGTTTGGTTATTTACCCTCGTGGACTGTGTGTCCACGTTTGTTAATTGTTCTGATAAGTCCCTATAATTATGAATCTAATTATTTGATGATTTTACATTCCATTGATATTATTCAATAATTTGTTTATAAATATTTATTTCATTTATGTGCCTTCTTGGGAGCAAGCTCTATTAACATTTGCCATGATAGTTCAATGATTTAAGACCTAATTTTAAAATTTTACAAAGCTATTCTATTTTAAAGTTTATTATATTTTTATGAAAGCTGTTGTCTCTTTGACTCACGCATTATTTTAATCTTTTCCTTTTTATTCAAGTTCTATTAATTATTGTTGGGACGTTATTCACTGAAAATTATTATTTTGGTCTCAGATACGTTAGCTAATGTTGTGCCTTCCGCTAATCCTTGAGGGGCTATAATATTCGGTTGAGATGAAAAGCTAAAATCAAACTTTTTTAAAGTAAATTTCTTATGTCAGGTGCTCCACATAAGCTATAGTTAGGGTCCTCATCCTTATGATTTATACTTTGTTATTTACTGATCGGAAGAGAATTCTTTGCTGCTACTATTGTTTTGTAAAATATTAAATCTTTTGTTCATATAGTTTGTATTGACAATGGCTTAATTTATTACCAAATGTCTTCATGGCTTTTAAATTAGAGTTTTCTTGAGTAAAGACTTTTAGGATATGGGTATTATCCTTATATTCTGTGCCAAACATGTTCTGTTTTTGGGGTGTGACAAGAACTCCCTTGTTGATCCAGTCTTGGATGATGCTCTTGAATCCCTAACACGCCTTGGTGCTGTGACTCCACGAGTAATGGTACTTATAGTATTCCTTCCCTCTCTATTCTTCCTTCGAAGGAATTTTATAATCCATGAGCAGGGAGATGAAGTTTTCTTTGAGGAGGAAATCAAAAATTTTCTCTATTTTAGTAGTATCAAAGGTGTACTAAAGTGCGTTCAGTTTTTTGGAAAGTTCTCCGGCCTTCTTTACCAGAGCTGGGCATGTGTAGTTACCAGCATTCTTCAGTTCTACCACCGCCATGTCTAGGTCTCCAAAATAGGTCCCTGCTATAGTCCATCGACGATGGTCCTCTTTCCTGAGTAGTTCCTCATAACCCCATACCTTGGCCGCGAGCTCAAAGAAATCTTGAAATTCCATCTCCTAAAATTTCTTTCGGAGTTCTTTATCCAATCCTGCGTGTGCCAGCTTGACAAATTTAGTTTTTAGAAATGGCACGTAGTACCTGCTTCTCAAATGTTTGAATCTCACCAAGTATTGGTTTGCTGTCTCTCCAGCCTGTTGTGTGAGCTTGCAGAGTTCTGTTATGCTAACCTTCGGTTCTGCTTTATAAAACTGGATGTGGAACTTTTGCTCCATTTCTATCCAGCTGATGATTGAGTTACGAGGTAGTGACATATACCATGTGAACGCCGGGCTCGTGAGAGTATTCGGGAACAATCTCAGCTTCAAGTTAGCGAAGTTCTCATAATTAGCAATCTTGCTACATTGGATTGTAAACCTCCCAATGTGCTCCAGTGTTGACTGCGTTTCATCTCCTAAGAACAACGTGAAGTCAGGGATCCTGTATCCTTGAGGGTTTGGGTTGTCCCTGTCTATATACTCTGGATAAGGTTTTGAAAGGTGGGGGCGGCCGATTGGCCTCGGCCCTGGTCTATATATATCTTGGATGGCGTCCCTCAGGCCTCCATGTTCACCAACTGGTTCTGAAGCTTGGTCGAACATTTTGGGATCACTACCGTGCCCCCCGAGCCACTCGTGCCAGGTTTAAATGTGCGGCCTCAATGGCCAGCACCTATATTGATTCTTACTTGTTGCCCTTCAAGCAGCCCTACACTTGAGCCTGCTTACGTGATTTCAGTATGTTTTCTTGTTATGGACTTTATTGAGCTTCGAGGCCAGCCCCTTTTGTTTATATTGGGCCTGACGCTTTGATTACTCAGCCCAACTAGCCTTGTGACCTATTTGAGCGACGTTTCATATTTAGCCCAAACACATGGATAGAAACTTGTTTCAAGGTAATTATTATAATCTATTTTAGCATCATAATAGGAGCCTTGTTTCCCTCAGCGGCTGTGTGTTCTTCATGATGAGGAATTCAAAGTCATGGAAGATCATGATTCTACCTAGCTGGGTGTGAGCAAGTAGCTCTTTTTAACTTTTATTTACTGTACTTAAATAACAATGATGAACCATTATGCATCCTATTCTTGAAATAGCATCTATGAAAGTAATTTTTTTTCTTTTATTCTTTTGGTATAGGTGATGGAGGTTGACTCATTGCATCATGAGATTTGCTTAGGGAAGAAAAAGAACTTATATAACTTCGAGATAAAAAAAGGAACTAAAGACAAAATCAAAAAGAAATTCCATTACTCATGGAAGTAGAAAAACAATGAGATAGCTAGGGAGAAAATACTGGGCATGGTAAGTTCAAAATTAAGGGAAAAAAATAAAAGAAAAAGAATACATAAGATGAGATGTGGAATAAAATCCGAGTCAACCTGCCCAATTGAGCAAGTAAATCATTAAACTAGTATTTTGACCAATTTAATAAAATGATTTGCTTATGACAAGTTTAATTATGATTTGACTATAATTTTGACCATTAGGCAACAGTTAAGTACTTAGTTTTAATGACTTTGATATCTAATAAAATTAAGACAAGTAAATTTTAATGTGTTAATATTTTTTTATACAATTATTCATTATCATGGGGTAAGTTGGGTAGGACCACATTGACAACGAAACTTTTCTAACAAGCATTTAAGGCAACTAGACAGTTTCCCGTGCATTGCACGGGTTGAATTTAAAAAATTTAAAACAAATACCTTGGATACTATTGATATCTATACCTCTAAGATTGCTCCTATAAAACTTAAATTTTATATTTAAAATTTAATAATGACATATATGAATTCTTAAAAATAGAGACTGAAAAATATTGAGAGACACGAGATAAATGGAAAAGCTAAGATGGATGGAATTATTGCTCCCGTAAAACTTAAATTTTATATTTAAAATTTAATAATGAAATGCTCTTATGAAACTTGAATTTTATATTTAAAATCTAATAATGAGATACATGAAGTCTTAAAGATAGAGACTGAAGAATATTGAGAGACACAAGATAAATGAAAAAACTAAGATGGATGGAGTTATTACTCCCATAAAACTTAAATTTTATATTTAAAATTTAATAATGAGATACATGGCAAATAAAATGAATCAATGAATAAAGAAAATTAAAATTTAACCAACATTAATTGACCAATAGTATCAAAGAGATGTTGATCAATCAAAGACTTTCTACAAAATATATATATATATATATATATTGATAGTATATCTAGGACTCAAATTCAAAATCACTTGTTAAACTAACACAAGCCCCTTACCAATCAAGCGACGTGCTTGTTGGTAAATGTGTTAATAATGTTAATTACAAAAGTTTGTTATGGAATAAATAATCTCTAAAGGATCTATATATCTTGATTTAATTGGAAATAAGTATTTTAAGTATATAAGGTTAAGTATATAAATTTTTTGAAACAACAACTTCACCAGTATTTCATTAACCAATTAATGGTCTAGTTTTTGGTACCTTGGGGTTGTTTGATTACATGTTTTATAATAGTTTATTTGAAAAAACTTGTTTGAAAATATGTTTCATGTTGTCGATTTTGAAGATAAAAGTTAAAAGTTGTTTTGAAAAACTAAAAAAATTAGAACCTTATTAGATGTTTTGATACCTTTTGCTTTGAAAAATTAGGAAAAAAGAAGAAAATATCATGTTTTCGTTAATGACAATTATGTTAATTATACTTAAGATATTTTTAATTACTTTACACTCCCCATACAGTACTTTTTCTTTATTTTTATGTTAATTGTGGGCTACTGGAGTAGATTCCTCTCACAGGAACATCAAATCGTTGGTTGAAATAAAAGAAAAAATCAGATCGCATATTTGGGCTTAACCCAAAATCCATTTGGCCCATGAGAATTGAATGCATTCTGCCTCAGTAGTCAGTGCGAACTCCAGCTGTGGCCAACTGATTTATTCACTGTGCGTCGCCGTGAAATGGATCAGAGCACTTTCTCCGCCCGAACCCGGAAAGGCAGACCCAAGTCTGACCTGTTTTCCACCGTCGTCGTGTAAGCGAGACCAAAGCCAGAGCGGACGGAATGCCAGAAGCCCAGTACCTGAGGATGATCCATATGCTACAATGGTCTACAAAGACAATGGCCATGGAGAAGACGAAGATGATGTCTCCTCCCTCCCACCTCTTCTTCAGCACCTGCCCAAGGACTTTGGTAGTGGAGCCTCGATGGACTACGAAGACGATCCTGACGATAATGCCGGCAATTTTAGCACCATGATTGTTAAGACTGATCGAAGTTGGGAGTGAAATCATTCTTCTTCGTCGCCCATGGGTTCGACCTGGAATTCTTGGAAGTCTCCTTTGAGGCAGGCAAGTGCAACGCGGGACTGGGCGGTGGGGATGATGAAGATGATGAGGGTGACGAGGGGTTTTCAACATTCATCATCCGTAAAACAGCAATGTCCAGTGAGAGAGAGTCTATCAGTGGAACCGTATTGCGTGGGAAAATCGGCGGCGCTGGTGGTGGTGGAACTGTTACTGGCTCGATAATGGAAAGAGCAGTGGCAAGTATACAGGCATCGGGTGAACTAGGCTTTGGGAAACAGAGGAGGGGGAGCGGGCCTATGCAGAACGACGAGGTTAGGTAGCCAATGGGGACGAAGGTTTCATCGAGTTCGATCCCGAAAATCGTCACTAGAGAGGATCCTACAACTAAAGTATGAATTGCTCAACGAACGTGGTGGGTGGAAATTTTATTTTATTTATGTTTTTTACTTTATCTCTTTTTCGCCTTGCTTGCTTAATACATTTCAAACAATCGCCTTCGTGAATTTCTTTCAAGGGAATTAAGTGAATTTTGAAGTTAATAGTAGCGTTTTCTAGAAGTAAATCGTTTTTATTGTTTGTTTGTTTGTTTTAATCCTAAAATTGGTCTTTTCCCGAAAAATGTCAGTGAAGGGATCTTGCCCATTCATTTATAAAGCTAGGGATTTAAAAATGGGAAAACGACGATCAAGTCTCAAAGGATCAATTTTATACTAGTTAAGTCCCAAGACATTTTGAAATATCAGTTAAGTCCTTAGGTCCTTAAGTGACATTTTAATATAATGAGAAATAATCGAAACAGCCTTATTTGGCTAGTGAAATTTTGAAATTGCTCATTCTTTACTTTACCCTAGCGATTATTGCCGTCTCTTTCTTGCCCCATTACAAGTGAGTAAAGGCGTCCATCCGTTGTCTCTTCCCTGCCCCATTGCAAGCGAGTAAAGCTATCTATTTGTCGTCTTTATTATAGTCCTGCCTTTCGTCTCTTCTCTACCCTAAGCAATCACTTGCAACCAAGTAGATGAAAGCTATTTGTCTCTTCCCTGCCCTACCTTCCTTGCCTAAGCAGAGCTCAAGTTCGTTATCTTTCTCCTCTCTTTTACTTTTTGTGTTCTTGTCTTGGGTTTACTAAATGCTTAATTTTTGGGAAAATGACAATCGAATATCCAGATATTTGATTGTCTCTGTGTGTGTGTTTTAGAGGATTCCTAGCATTTGTATGTGGATGATATTTGTAATGATGTGGCTTAAGACTATTATCACTATGTATACATGTTCTTTAGGTTTAGCTTATCTAAGAGCAATTCTTCAAAATATATCAGGGAAGAACACAAGGGATGAGTCTTGAGCAGATTTATATTTGATTATTGTTATTATGTTTTTGTTATCCAAATAAGAATTAATGAGAGCCTTTAACTTAGCAGTATGAATTATCAAACATAAGGATCTTGAATTCCCCATATATCTCATGCTCGGTTATATTGTAAATATGTCTTCAATTATTTGAAAAATTAGGTCGTACACTTAGCAAATGACATCGTACAACTTGGTGAAATTATTTTCATAAAATGCCAAAATTATCTTACTGAAACTTATTGCATCATCTTTTTCCCAAATGGTAACGAAATTAATTTTTTAATTGATTAAATTACATTCAATTTTCAATTTCCGTTGAGTTTCTAAATACCTATATTCCTACCTGGTTACAACCCCAAAGGAGATCCTCTTCCCAAATACCATCCTTTTATAAAATGGAACCTCTAAGCTAAAGTCCACCTAAGAAAGGTTGTATTAGTATCCCTTATACCCTAAACTTGAGATAGATCTAGAGATGGGGACCAATATGGTGGAAATGACATCCCAAAACATTTTAAAGAAGCAGTTCCTCAGAAAGCCCTACCAAAGAATTATCCTTATGTTATATCTGCATGTGAAGGGAATATGGAAGAATATTAAATACTATATGAGTAAGCTGACAAAGAAGGAGGTACAAAGAGAGAAGGGGGAAAAGGGAGATAAAGTTTGTTAGAAGAGGTGATATGTTGGAGGGATCAATGTAGAGAGGGAACAGACAAGAATTTGGTAGCTTTTGGAAGAGACTTTACCCTTTCAATCTTGAGAGTGCTTGTTTCCATCTAGTCCTTTAAGTCTTTATTTTTGCCTTTTTTAGAAATTTCATATCATTGTAAGCACTAGCTTATTCATTCTCATCTCTTGCTCCATATAGTGAAAGAATTAGAACTTCATCAATATATCAATATCATTAGTTTATTGGGTTTCATCACCTTTCTTCTTTCAGAATGAGATTTATTTGCAAACAAAAAGCAAAGTTCATTTAACCTCACCATCAGACCATTAAATAAGATGATTTACTAACCTTCCCAGTCTTTTTTTTTATTTGTGAGGGTAGGAAAATCATCAACATCTCCCTCCTGATGATTGCCTTGTCCTCATATAATTATATACATTGTGGACAAAATCTTGTTTTGAATTTGATTATTGGTATATATGTATGTGGTGTGTATTTGGGTGTAATATTTGGTTGAATATGTTTTATTTGCTTTTATTGCAGGCCAAAAAAAGTAGCAACAAGTCTATTTCCTTTCCTTTTCACTTGATGATTTTAATATTTGAGTCCATTACTAGATACTAATACAATATTTGAGCCCTATCACTAAAACCCAAGTCCCTTTCTTTTCTTTTTTTTGTTATGTACAGGTATCTTTTTATTAAAAGTGATTCTATTATTTGAGTATTAAATGTGAACATGTCTTTTAACAAGGATTCAAATATTAATGCACCATATTGTGAGGATATAAGAGACTAACTATTTTTGTTAGATTTAACTTCTCAATAACGAAGGCTTTGTTATAATAATAAATGAATTTGTGCAACTTGCCTCCTAAATATCCCATTGTGCGGACAACATTCCATAACAGTGTATATGTACGTGGTATGTTTTGGGGTGTAATATTTGGTTGAATTTGTTTCATTTGCTTTTATTGCAAACAAAAAAAAAAGTAATTTGCAACTGAGACACCAAGAAATTATGGACAACAAGAAAGCTATAAAAAAAAGAAGTCTGGATACGACAAGTCAACAACTTCAAGAAAGAGTTTCTAAAAAGAAATGAAGAAAAATTCAGTGGTCTTATAGAAGCCAATAATTCAATGAGAGAAAGTTGGCAAAAATGATCAAATGTTGAATAAGAAAGATACAAAAACATGGCTTCAGTAGATGGACGAGGAAAAGAATCAACATCTTATTCAATGGCAACAGTATCACTCGCTTGTATTTATTTTGAATTAATGAGTCTTTTTTGAATATGATTGCTATGCATTGTACAGTGTTATATTATTCCTCTTGGTATGTAGATTCCATTTAATACGCGTTGCTCTCATGGCCAGTTCAAGAAAGTTGTGGAATACATATCCAAACATAAGAGGATATGTGCTAAGGTCAAGAAAATGGGGTTCCAATCTCTCTTGGATTTTAAATTCAATAAACTACTGAGGGAGTTATGTGAACAAATAATTACTGCTTTTGACACACCAACCTCAACACTTGGAATTATAGGGAAGAAATTAAGTGTTGATGGGAAGAATTTGTACACTATCTTGGGTGTGCCTTATGGTGGGAAAGCTGTCTCTTTAGATGATCACAACGAAGCATCTGAAGCATTAAAGAAGAATTATCTTGACAAACCCTTCACTGAGTTGAAGAATATGATAATATCCGGTAAGGCTAAAAAAAAATTTTGAGATGGTGTTTTTGTTATACACTCTTGGAATATTTCTTTGTCCCATAACAGTACAACTATTAATATGAGGAGTATTAAAACTTTGAGTGGCAAGAAAAATGTTCAAGAATATGACTAGTTATCTTTTGTGTTGTTAGAGCTTGTTAGAGAAATTTTGACTTACCAGACAACATTAAGGAGTGGATGGAGGAAGAAGAATGTAAGGGGATGCTTATTTTTCTTACTAGTATAGACTATTTCTATTTCTTCTATATTTGGTTTCAATTTATTTGTTATTAGTTAGATTATAATTATCTTTTTAGTGTAGATATTTTACATGTACCATTTTTCATTGGGCCTAACACTATCAGTAGATGGTGGAAGGCCCGTGATGCATTTGTGGAACCAAGACATGGTGCAAAAATGGGTCAAGTTAGAAAAAAAAAGCATCCATGGCATTCTTTATGTGGTTAGACTAATGAAGTGTCTGAAGTTTTACCTCTACTTACAGCGATAACTCACCCAGTATATATATGTCCATAATTTATTATGTATGTACTGTTTTTATTTTCTTAATAAACTTAGTATTGAAACTTGGTTAGGGTGTGAGGGAAATATACAAAGACTTTTTGCAATATGCCAATACTTTTGCAAGTAAAGTGCTAAAGTTGCAACAAAGTCTTGGCCAGCTTCAAATATCTGATAATAAAGCTATTGTGAGGGTTGATGAACCAAGCGAAGAAGTGGAGGAAGAGGAATGTGGAGATGAAGATGAAGCTGAAGATAATGATGAAGATGGAGACAGAGGTAGAGATGAAGCTGAAGATACACATGACAATGGAGATGGGCATGAAGATGAGGATGATAGTGGACATAGAGATGGAGCTGGAGCTGGATCTGAAGAAGATGAAGGTAAGGCTCTGATAGTAAGGAAGAAATCACAAAACTTTTTCTTGTCCAAGAAAGTGAAGAAAGACAAGACGATAAGAAGAGGAGGAGAACAGATGAAATCCCGATCATTCAAAGGTCTGAAAGGAAAAGGGTTGAGGTAAATTGGTCACCTTTTCTGAAAGAACCAATACAAGGGAGACTTACTAAGGAACAACAAATATATGAATATTGCACCAGGAAAACCAATGAAGCAGAGGGTGAAGAGTAAGTAATGTGATATTACTTTTTGCTAATTATGGTGCATTATGTTTAATATAATAACACTTTTTTTGGTAGGTATGTAGCTGAGATGTATGACTACTTCCTAACTAGGGCAGAATGCCAAAGTCTTGGTCTCAAAAAATGGATAAATACAGCGGTATGTCTCAAAGTTTTAAGCAATTAGTTGTTCAATTGGATAGTACATTGAGTATTAGATGTGGTCTTTATAGGTCATGAGTATGGTTGCAAAAGTGATGGTTGGTGAGCAACTTCGTGAAGGGAAGTGTGGGGGTACATATTTGATTTAGAATTTATGGCTAGCCTAAGGGATAAAAAGTTAAGATGGTCTATTTTTAAGGATGCAAAGATACTCATGCTAATAAACTTGGATATACCTTGCAAACTGTGATTACCTCTTCTTGCCATGCTTGTGTTCAATCATTGGTTTTGTTATTGTGCTAATCTAAAGAATGAAAAATTTTTCATCTTTAATTCATTGGCTAGGAAGTTATTTAGAGAGAAGAAGATGATGGCTGAATTTATGATATGCTTTATTAGTGCTTTTACCTAACTACTTTAGGTTACTTAAATTTTTAGATGAGAATAGTTATCTAACATTAGGAACTGTTTATAAAGAACTCACATGATAGAGTTGTTACAAGCATGTGACCCACAGAAATATGGAGAGAATTTTTAGCTGGAGATGATATTTGAAGAACTTTCCAAATAGAGTAACGTGTAAGTAACTATGAAAACAACTACTTTTTTATGTATTCATTTCAAGTAAACATTTTGCCTAACCTTAATTGCTCATATTTGTAGAGATGATTGTGGGGTGTATGTGATAAAGTATTGTGCTGAATGGGATGGTAGAAGAAGAAAAGAAGGACTGACCATAGAGAACTTTTCAAATGTATGTATATGTGATCCATAATCTTCCTAATTTTTTTTCTTTCAATTATCAATGTCAAACTTAAATTTCTTTATATTTTTTTAGGAACAACTAAGATAGTTTTAGGTGGATGTGGTATGGTGGCTAGTAAATCACACGAGAAATGAAGTGGGAAATGAAGTTTTTGCCTCTGTCTCAGCAGCTAACCAACAAAAGAGGGCAGGAAAGAAGTCCACATGAATTTTTAATCTGTGACCTATTTTGATCATTAATCTTTGATGGGTGTAATACACTTGCCTCGCTAAAGATCCTGCTCTTCATCTACATTCACCATTCTGATTTTGTAGAAATTGCTTCTTCTTTAATTTTTCCCCTAAATGTCTTAGTTGAAGGTAGACTATGTAGTTTGTACAAGTGAGGACATGCTCAATTAAATTTTAAGCTGTAACATTTCAAGGCTTATAAGAATATTTTTACCAGCAAATTGCAGGGCTTATAAGAATAGGATTTTCGACTGTAAAATTGAGGTGGCCCTTGTGGGATATGCTTGATTAATTTTATATCCAAAACATGTTATTTGATCAGAAATTGATCACATACATGCATGTTAGCTAACTAAATTACAATTTTGTGTGAACAAGATTGCCAACACCTCCATTTAGATTTTATATAGAAAATACTAATTAATATTTATTATTTTCAATAAATAAAATAATGTGTATTTCCTACCAATTGATACAGTTGAGCCGTTGCTTATATTAGTTTAATCATATGGTGATCTAATTCAATGTTACAAATGAATCATGGAATTTTCTAATTTCATTATTGATATGGTTCAAGTGAAGCGATATAAAACACTATTTGTGACTATTAATCAAGCCGAACAAGCAATCAAATCAATTATATATAGCTAATGTCATAATTGCTTGTCAAAATTTTGGGTGGGATAACTATTGAATTCTTAAGAAAGTTATTGTTCTAGGACAACGCTCCAATAATTTACAATTGGCACACTAAATTTTGCAACTTCCTTGCGAATAATTTACAACTCCTTCTCCAAATTTTAGGTGAAAGAACTATTGAATTCTTAAACTTATAAAGCTACCAAATTATTTTTGGATATGGCTCCAGTAATTTGTAATTGACATACCAAATTTTACAACTTCCTTGCGAATAATTTACAACTCATACTTGAAATTTGGATGGAAGAACTATTGAATTCTTACAAAAATTATTCTTTTAGGACAATGTTCTAGTAATTTGCAACTGAGACACCACATTTTGCAACTTCATTATGAATATTTTGCAACTCATACTCAAAATTTTGGATGGAAAAACTATTAAATTCTTGAACTTGCAAAGCTACCAAATTATTTTAGGACAACGTTCTAGTAATTTGGAACTAAGACACCAAATTTTGCAACTTCCTTGCGAATAATTTGCAACTCATACTCAAAATTTTGGATGGAAGAACTATTAAATTCTTACGAAAGTTATTCTTTTAGGACAATGTTCCAGTAATTTGCAACTGAGACACCACATTTTACAACTTCCTTACAAATAATTTACAACTCATACTTGACAATTTGGATGGAAGAACTATTAAATTCTTACAAAAGTTATTTTTTTTGGACAACGTTCTAGTAATTTGTAACTAAGACATCACATTTTGCAACTTTCTTGCGAATAATTTGCATCTCATACTCGACATTTTAGATGAAAGAACTGTTAAATTCTTGCAAAAGTTATTCTTTTAAGACAACGTTCCAGTAATTTGTAACTGAGACACCACATTTTTCAATTTTCTTGAGAATAATTTGCAACTCATACTCAACATTTTGGATGAAAGAACTATTAAATTCTTAAAAAATTTATTCTTTTAAGACAACGCTCTAGTAATTTGCAATTGAGACACTACATTTTGAAACTTCCTTGAGAATAATTTGCAACTCCTTGTCGAAATTTAAGGTGAAAGAACTATTGAATTCTTAAACTTGCAAAGCTACCAAATTAATTTTGGACATGGCTCCGGTAATTTGCAATTAACATGCTAAATTTTGCAACTGCCTTACGAATAATTTGCAACCTCTGTTCGAAATTTTAAGACAACACACTTTTAGTGATCACATAAGATATGAACTGTATATATAAGAAACATGTATTAATTCATCTAATGTTTCTACACATATCAGTTGTCTACATACACAAAAGCATGAACTTGGATTTATAAATGAGGGCTTGCTATGTACCAAAAAATTCCTTAATACTACCAATATATATCTACATAAACTTATATATGTCAACCAAATCCAAGTTGATCTAATCTCATGTTATAGAAACATCAACTTAGATTTACAAAAGAGGGGTTGCTATATGCTAAAAAAAACCCTAAAAACTACCCATATATGTATGTCACCCAAATTCAAGTTCATGTGGTAACCCATTTACAGTAATATCAACTTGGATTTGGATTTCTACACCTCTTCCACGTATGACATGCTTCATGGCAACGAGAATAATGATAAACCTTCTTTTGCTAATATAGAGACTTGATCCTTACACGACGATGTCTGCTAGCTAGTCGAGATGTTCTGGGTGGCAACAAAAAGGTTTGGTTCATGAGCTCAGATGTAACAGCCCTTACCCCACCCTCTCGGGGGTTTTTTAGACTGGGCCCACTCACATCACTGCAGAGGCCAGCTTTCCCTATCACCTTAAGGAAGTTGAGGCTAAGTCTGGTACCATTGAGTTCCTGGTACCATTGAGTTCCGCTACAGTGATGTGGGTGGGCCCAGTCTAAAAGACCCTTGGGAGGGTAGGGTGAGGGCTGTTACATTAGACGCTATCAACACATTTAGCTTTGGCATGTCATAGGTCTCAATAGGATGTATAGTGCCACTGTGTATTTTCTCCAGTGAGCTATGAAGATAACATTCCTTGACATAGTTATACACATTACCTTGTACTTCTTCAATGGCTGCACAAGCATGTAGGCAAGGAATGCCAACATTTGCCAAACTTTACATATGCCTTCCCTTAGTATCAGATTCACACATATATCTCCACATGTTGTCTGAACTAATGCAATATGTGAGCCATGCAGCTGAACTATCATAACTTCTACCCTCAAAATATTTTCCTTCAACTTTGCTTCAATATTTGGACCAACTATGCTTTTTCACTTACTCATGGCTGTCTTACTTGTAAAAAATTTCTTGCTCAACTTGTCTCTATGCTCATTTATAAGAACATATATATTATGCCTCCTTTCCTCAAGAATCCATGCATTGAATGATTTGGCCAAGTTGGTTATTATCTTATCCTATCTTCACAATGGGAATAACGATAGCGCCCACCGATCAACATCACCTTGATTTTCAACCCATCTTGCTGATTGTGGAGAGAACATCCTCAAATTTCCCATGGCTATACGAAATTCATGCTCATGCCTTAGATAAGCAATGTGATCAAGCAAATTTAGTACCCCTTCCTTGCTGTTCCTTCTCATTCCCCTACAAACTTTGTTAAACTTAAAGCTAAAATTCTCCTTGACATGTCAATAGCAAAATACATGTCTATCGCCACCAAATATGGCTCTAACAACACTAATAATAGCATTATTTCTATAGTTACCTGTAGTGAACCAATGATATCTTTAATATTTTATAGAAACTTAGTCCAATCATCGTGAGTTTCACTACCAACTATTGCAAAAGCCAATGGAAACAACTCATTATCGGCATCGTATGTTGAAACTACCAGTAAGGTGCCCTAATAAGGACCACTAAAGAAACATCCATCCATATATAAAATAGGCTTAGCCCTAAGCACAAATCCTTTGATGGAACAACCATATGTAATAAATAATCATTCAAATCTATTGTTCTCAGAAGCCACCCATTTTGCTATAGTGTCAGCATCAGTCTCCATTAGTCTATTACACAACTGAGGAACAAGCATATATAATTGGTCAAGAAGCCTATTTATTTCCACCAATGCCCTCTCTTTCACTCTTAAGGCTTGACGATGAGTTAGACTTATGCCATAGTCTCTATATATGTTAGCTTTGATTTCATTGGGTCTTTTTTCCATATTAGACCTTACTATATCATCAATTATAGACAAAGTTAATGTGCACCTTGTACTGCGAGTAATCACTATATTGACAAGCTATGCATACGCCATTGACAAGTGTTAATACATTTGGTGCTGTTAATGTATCAACACTTATCAATAGTGAATGCATAGCTTGTTAATATAGTGATAACCACTTCTCAATTGCCAACAGCAAATAATCAATAGGTTCTTGTAACTTGTTGATTTTTAAAGGAAATAACAGCCCTTAATGTATCAGCACTTGTTAATGGTAAATGCATAGCTTGTCAATGTAGTGATAACTACTTGCCAATTGACAACGAGAAGTAATCAACAGGTTCTTGTAGTTTGTTGATTTTTAAAGAGAATAACAGCACCTAATGTATCAGCACTAGTCAATAGCAAATGCATAGCTTATCAATAAAGTGAAAACCACTTGTCAATCATAGTTGGCCACTTGTCAACATTTAATTAATAAAACAAACTATTTGTCACATTTACAAACTTGTAATCATCATTTATAATAACATTGTCTAAGTTAACTATACGAAATGGGCTAACTATATAAAAGGACATAATTATCAATAAAGTTATATCTTAAAGTTCTATCAATAATCTTTTATTTCCTCTTCTTCCTTTCTCGGGATCTTTCTAACAAGGGTATGGCTTCGTGCTCCTTTACGTTGTTACAATGACTCAATAGCCACCACAGGAATTCTATCTTCTTCCTATAGAGATCATCCTGCACCACAAGTCAATCTTATAAGGTACAACAAAAATTTTTCAACAAAAAAAGCTTGTATCAAATGCTTGAGAATAATATATAAAATGTCCCCTATATGAAAAAAAAACATAACATAATACATGTTTTTCAGTTGTATAAGCATTCTTACAATTCATCCTGCACAATATAGTGTATCGACAACTATCGATAACATATTGACAACACAAGAATGCACTATTGACAATATGTAGAGTTATTCGTATTAGATATTTTTCAATATATCAATGTCACATCAGATAAATCCATATCCATTAGCTATGCAGATCAAATGATCGCAGGTATACCCAGAAAGCATTATCCTACCTTAAACAATAATGAAATCATTAACGCATAAGAAATCGTTTACTCACTCAACAATCACTGTATTGTTTTCTGCTGATGAAATACTGCAGTCGTGGATGAACACTCCCACCTCGCTTAGATGAAGACAAGGGCAGTAATCATAGATATGAGGAAGTGAAAATTACCCTACCATGATCAACAATCATGAATATGCATCAATCTTCAATATCGCTGATCATGTGTTTCGTGAGATATGTGTTCAAGCAAAATTTCCTTTTTAATGGTAGAGGATAAATCAGTAATTTCATTTTAAACTTATTCACCCT